GTGTGTGTGTGTGTGTGCGTGCGTGCGTGCGTGCGTGCAGGTCAGGCTGGTGTCATCAGAACCAAGGAGGAGATCTAGAAGGATTTTAGAGTTTTTGGTTATAAGTCAGAGAGATAGAAAGATAAGGGAAGAGGAGGCGATTAGAGATTGAGAAAGAAAAGGGAGGGATATCAACATCAAACATGACCACTACACAGGGTGCTGGGTTAGGAGGGGATATGGGGGGAGGAAGGGAGACAAGGGAGGAGGAGGAGGAGGAGGAGGAAGGGGCGAGCTGTGGTTGTTATGTTCATTGTGGTCTTTACCTTTTTGATCCACTTCTATTCAAGCATCGGAAAAAGGAGAAAGAAGGAGATAGAAAGATAAAAGAGAAAGACAGTAAGGAAGAGAAAGAGAGAGAGCGAGAGAGAGAGAGAGGGAAAGTAAAGGGAATGAAAGAAAAACAGGTGCAGGAAAAAAGAGAAAATTGAGATTAAATAAAACGCTGTCCTTTCTCTTTCTCTCGTTCTTTTTTTTTAAAGCAAGTTATCTGTCTGTGTTATGGTTGGCTACTCAGAGAAAGGATGGCTCAAATGGAAAATGAGGAGGGGAAAATGGCCTGACCTGGGTTTAAATCCATTTCCATTTCATTTCAGCTTTATCAATAATCCCCCAAACAACACAATCCACCCCCAACCACACACTCTCGACCCCACCTCCACCCCTCGTATTGCCACATCCCTCCCCCTTTCCCCCCCACTCTCCCTTGAGTGAAAAGTGCAGCCGCAGGAACCTGTTGGAGAAAGAAAGTGAGGAAGAATATTGTTGTGCTGCCTTCCTCTTCAGCTGCGGAGAGAGACAGAGAGCGGGAAAGGTGGAGGAGGAGATGGGGGATGGTAAATGGAAAGATGGCGATGAGGATGTCTCTATCTTTGGCTGGTTGTCTTCGGAGGGATCGTTGTACCACTCTAACTCCAGGTACGGTCTCTGTTGACACTAAACCTGTCCCTTGATCTAAAGACAGCAGAGCTTTTGGCGTTGCTCAATTTACAGAGTCAGGACGCTCGCTATAGAAGCCAGCAAAAACACTCAACCCATCGACCGTCCAATCAATGGGGAGCTGCCGGCTTGCCTGACCGAGGCGGGCTCATCAAAGACGAGAGAACAACAACAGGGGAAAGGGAGGGCTTGACAGAGTGGAACGCCTCAGAAACACACAGGGGGGGGGGGGCAGTCTACAACTGGGCTCATCACACACAAATCAATAGGTTGGTGTGTTTAGTCACACCGAGGCCTTGGCCGACACAAGCAGGTAAGGCGCGGCTCCCTCAATATCCGTGGCGTTGTTAGGTGCCTGGTAGAGCTGCCGAGTCTGGGGACGTCCACTGGCAGCTGGGGACTCAAGGAGGAGCGAGAACAGATCTCAGCTCCGCCTTTCCAATCCCAGACACTGGCACATGCCTTTCCCCCTGCGTTTTTTGGAGGCGCTAGTGGTGTGCAAGTGGATTGTCATGTCTCTCAGGACGAGACGTGTCAAAAGGCACTTGGCTGGAGGATCCCTGCTGCGAGCGTGATTGTTGACTATGTGTTGTGGGAAGTCTGATGTCCCAAGGGGAGCTCTGTGAAATAGTCACAACACCTCGTAGGGCTGCCCATAAAGAAAGAAAAAAAGGTGAGAGAGAGAAAGAAGGAGAGAGAGAGAGAGAGAGAGAGAGAGAGAGAGAGAGAGCAGTAAAGAGACAAAAAGTGTGTAAAAGAAAAAAGGGATTGTTAGCAGCAGTAGTCTGTGTGGAGGATGGCCTTGCATCTTGGCAGCGGTGCAGCAGAGGCAGCATTAGTATCAACAGCCACACTGATCATTTATCATCTAATGCCAAGATCAAAAAGGACAAACAACCTCCACGAAGACCTGGGGAATGGCGGCCATTTTCAGCCTAGAGGGGTAAACATGGCAAAGCTATGAAAGCGAGGCCTGTGAAGCTGGGGCAGGGGGCAAGAAAGCATTACATCCCCGCCACCAACCGCGAGTGCAATCATTAGCTCCAAGGTTAGGGGAGGGAGAGGGGGGGAGCAGAGAGCATCTAGAGCTTTCATCCTCGCTGCTACAACTGCAGGGGGTGCATGGGAAGACCAGAATTCAGCCAAGCTCGAACACATTGAGGTGTTGTTTTTTTCACAGAGGAATCTGACAATAGAGCTCGTCCGCTGCATGTCGGAGACTGCATTTATCAAAGAGGGTCTGCTAAATGTGATGCTGTAAATGGACCAGTGAGTATGTAAGCAGCATGATGTGGTGAAGAGCGAGAGAGAGAGAGAGAAAGAAGACTTCTTCGGTGCTGCAGGAAAGGAGGAGAGGAAGAAACAGCGGAAGTGGACGACCTCCGTTGATTCCACTTCTTATGCTTTTGGTTGTCCTGAAAAATAAATGCTGAGCACAGACACAGCATCATCACACCGACTAAAGGACACACACATACACACAGAGAGGAGAGACAGAAACTCATCAAAGTGTCGTCACAGTGAAACAGGGGGTTAGTTTAAGGCCACCTTGGCTGTTTGTCTGATTCATTCAGCATTTCTCTTTCAGGGCCCTTTTGAGAAATAAGCCACTGCCCTCTCTCTCCTTAATCACTGCTCAGCGCTCTCTACAACCCTATCAATTACTCCCACACTAATGAGTACAGCTAGAAACACACACACACACACACACACACACACACACACACACACACACACACACGGTTGGAGCATTGCAGGACAACGTAGCCTCCTCTGTCTCTTTCGCGCTGTTGAGAGATAGCGCGTCCTCTCCATCTTCTTCCGTCCTCTCCTCCCCCCGCTCTGTTTTCTCTTTCTCTCACTTCACATTTTTCACGGTGGAGTCATCCCTTTCCAGGGGCCTGAGCAAAGCCGCCTGCTTCTCATTCACCAAACATTTATGAGCCCGACGTCTAATGGTGTCCCTATACATATTAATAGAATTTCATTTTCAGCTACATCAAAGTGTTTCCTCTCCTCCCCTGAAAACTTGTCATATTACAATGCCATTATTCCTTCTACTGACAAACTCATCCCGACAAGTCAACTATCATTTCCAGCGCCTTTGTGTCCAAAAAGCTATGTCTTGTAATGAATAAGCAGTGCTGAATACATATGTGAGGAAAAATCAATTTCATAAAGTGAAACAGTGGCAGAGTTGCAAAAAAATGAGGGTAAAAGTAGAGAATACGGAGTTACCTAAGAAGATCTGACTCTCTGGTGTGCAACCTGAGCCTGCACTTTTAAAGCCAGGTCTACAGCTACCTGCACTGTGCATATTAACAAGATAAATCACAGCTGATGAAATAGCAGGGGCTCAACACTAGGTCTAATGGCTCTGGCATGGCTAACAGGGATGGCCCCAGTGAGTAGCATTTGGAATCAATAATGATGTAGCACGGTGTTCTGAAGAGGAGGGGGGGGGGGGGGGGGGGGGGGGGGGGGGGGGGGGTAGGGTTCTTGGCGTACATCTGTGTTAAAACTGCAGTGTTGGCTTTCCTCTACATGAAGTACATGCTGCAGCTGTGTGCACGGATCTGTGATGTCTTAATGGAATCCAGCAGTCTACAACAGACTGTGACAGTGTGAAATGCGAGTTCAGTTGAGCCGTTTTGTCTTGCTCTGTTCCGGCTGGCAAAAACAATGCTTTGTGGCGGGGAGGCCTCGCAGGGCTTTTTGGCTCAATGAGATATGATTTGACTTGTTGGCGGATGTTGAATTTTGCCAAGGCGATCCCACGCGCTGCAACACACGCACATTCTGGACCCTTGTCGGAGCTGAGCTGACAGGAGGATTGTGTGTGTGTGTGTGTGTCAGCTCGGCTCCAGCTGTCACCTCGCCGTTTCAGGTGTCTGGTAACATGGCAGCTGTGTGACACGCACATAGAGGACCCCCCTCAGATGTAAACATCACACACAACCATCAACATGGCTGCCACACCACCTCAGCTGCGTTGACACAACAACCTTTACACATCATCTTTCTTTTTCTCCCCCCTTTTGTTGAGATGAGCGACGACAAACGCGAGTCGGCCTCGGATGATGCCAGAGTGCCCAGCGTTCCCATCCAGACGTGAACGATGGGGCATTACCAGAGCGATTAGCAGCAGCAAATTCAATTAATCTTGACAAATCTCTGCTGAGGCAGAACTGAAGAGAGCGATGCGCCCCCCTCTCCTGGTAATTAAAAGTGGCCGAGTTGAGTGGCGTGCGGTGCAACTGTGTCTAGGTTTTGGGATGAACAGTTGCAGCGCTGAGTCTGAATGTGTCAGGTCATATTTAGTTTGTCAGACGAGCACAAACATTTAGAGCAGCCGTGGAGTGGGTTGTGTGCGTACGCGTGCGAGCAACACTTGTTTCCGTCTCTGTGTGTGCGCGAGCGTGTGCAATGAGTGTAGCATAATCGTGCTTTTCCAGCGGAGGAGGGTGGCAGAGGACAGGGGTAATTGGCTCTTCTTTGTCACCTCAGACAGGTGGGACTTTTCATCATAGGGGGATCAGCTTCCAATTTTCTAAGCCTTGCCATACTTCAGACGCAATCAACAAAGTTTTTTTTAGGGGTTTTTTCACGCGAGGAGGAAAAATGCAAGTCAGCAGCTATTTAATCATCCCTCTGATTGCCTTGTGGACAGAGAACAAGCTCCCTCGTGCAGTCAGACGGAAAAAGACAAGGTTAGAATGCATGAGGAGAAGACGACAGGAAAAACTAAGCGATGCCACCTTGACCCTCCCATGGATATTATATAGGACACCAAGCTACAGCACAGGAGTAGGAAAGGATTAACAAACAGAAATACTCTAAAGGAGAGAGGCAGCGTGACTGCAGCTAACATCGACTGAAAGGCAGGTTAACAGAGGAAGAGGACACTCGAGTAGAATACTTGTTGCCACTTGGAAGGCTGTGAAAAAAAGATTCACACCAAAGAATAATCCGCAAAGGCACAGTACCCAGCTAACTTCTTATCTGTGACTGCGGCTGCAACCTGACTCCACACAGTCTCTCAAAAGGTAAACTGAGCGCACAGAACCACTGAGCAGAGGTAGGGCAAAGACTGAAAGAGGTGCTCTGAAGTCCCTGAGTTTCCCTGAGCGTCCACAGCAGAGCCGAACGGCTGGATGTTTGAATATTCGCCGTATCTGTAAAAGAAAAAAAACAACAGAGACAGCAGCGGAGACACAACAGAATGATAAGATGTGACAGATTGATGGACAGAGTAAAAATAGAAGAATAATGAGAGAAACAGGGCAACGCATGAAGATTAAAGACCTCTGAGTGTAGACGTGAAGTGAGAGAGAGACAAAGGCAGGAGAGAGAAAAAGAGGAGTTAAGATGGATGAAAAGAGGTGATATTGAATGTTAGATAATAGATGGAGGATGAGTGAGAGACCTCAGAGAGAAGGGATGAGGAGTAAGAGGAAGTGAGCAAAGGAGGTTAGCGGCTTGGCTTGGACTCGATCCCGTGGCTCGCCACATCTGTGCCTGAGGAAAAAGCAGAGAGAATCACCCCATACTCCCATAACTTGGTCTAAACTAAACAGCTCCAGCGCCCCAAGAAAACCCCTGTCCCCCAGTCCCCCACCCCAAAAAACCTAAACACCCTCATACGCCCCTTCCTGCAACCCGGTTCTGCCTCCTCCTGGTGGAGGGGAGCACCACTGCCCCTCCTTTCCAACAAAGTGCTCCTGCACGGTGAGGGGATCAATGCTGAGAGTAATAATACATGAGAGGGAGGAGGGGAGACTGAGCTGAGATTTTCACATGAGCGAGGATCAACACATCAACATATAATCCTTGCTGTGTCTGCTCCTTTGCCTGTGTGAGTGTGCTCTTTTCTTTGTGTGTACACACAAGAGTCAGAGGGAGAGAGAGCAACTGTGCACCCCCGTGTGTGTGTGTGTATATGTTTGTGTGTGCACAGGCGTGTGTATATGTCACACCTCCACGCAGCTCTGAGCAGTGCCATGAGGAAGTCAGACGTTACCATGGGGACATTAAAATGTGCGGCGCTCCAGGTCATGTGGTATAAAATAAGCCTTTTGCTGTTTGTGTGAACATTCCCATTGTAAGGTGTGGCGTACACACAATGTCCCCTGCCTCCCGGTCTCACTGTGCCCAATTTTAATTTTTATTGGAAATCAGAGGGACAGCAAAGGTGTTTGGCACCAGATAAAGGTGGAGGCATGCCCCTGGGTCAGTCAGTGTGTAAGTGTGGGGCGGTGTGTGCTACACTGCAGTGATCACCAATAAGGGCTGACCCCACGTATGCAGTGGGCGTGTGTGAAGTCCTTATCAGAGCACCTTCCCCCATGTGAAAATCCCTCTCAGCATCTGGTGCGTCGCTCTGTCGATGAAGAAAAAAGGTTTAGCGCTCTGTGTGAGCGTGTGCATGTGTGTCTCTGTGCAGTGTAAGTGTACATGAGAGAAAGAAGAGAGAGACAGAGAGTGGCCGAGGATGACTGTGTGTCTTGTTTTGATTTTGTGGAAAGAAGCCAGAGAGAGCGGGTGAGTATATGGACGATATTTGTTGGGGTTTTTTTGGGGGTTGAAGACCGAAGGCAAGAGGTCCAGGTGGGGGTAAAGGGAGGGATTGGAGGGGCGGTGAATGGGGTGAGGGGGGTGGGGAGATGTGAGGGAGTGACAAGGGTCTCAGTACTCACTGTAAGGGACACACTCATACTGGATCTCCAGGTACTTGTAGGTCCCTGGGCAAGGGTCCGGGAACACATCCGACCCTGCTACCACCACACACTGAGTGCGGTTATTACACCTGCAAGAGGAGACAGATGGGGAGAGGAAGGGAGAAAACAGAGAGAAGGAAGGAAGTAAGTGATAAAAAAAATAACAAGCACCATTGTAAGAAAGAAAAAGAGTGGGTACAAAAAAAAAAACATCTTCAGGCTCTGAAAGACGAAGAGAACGGTAGGGAAGGGAGTAATTTCACACTAGACTAGATCATGTGACAGCTGCACCCAAGGGGAGGTGGGAAACAGACGGGGGGGGGGGGGGTGGAAAAGAAGTGGGATGAAGGATAGAGAGAAGTAAGGAGGGAGGGAAGAGGCCGGGAGAGGGCGAGTGACGTAAGAGCCTCCTCTCTTGGGGGATTGTGAGTGGGAGCAATTAGAGGTGAGAGAACAGGGAAGGACGACAGGGGGGGGTAAGGCAAATATTCTACACCACACGCACAGGGAAAACATTCATATGCACATAATACCTACATCTAAACCGCATCGCTGCATGCCTTCTCACGTTGGCACACTCTGGGAAACACACAAACACACACACAACAGAAGAGAGGACACAACCGCGCGCACACACACACTCTCTTATTCTCATCACATAATTCTCCTGTATCCAGCTTTTAGCATTTCTTCCCTGTGCTGCCTCTCCCTCCCCTCATATCTCAAATCTCTGCTGCACTCACTCTATCATCTCATCATTTCTAACAGTCTCCCTCCTTCCTTTACCTCCTCAATTCTCTTCTTTACCCCCCCCCCCTTGCTCTCTCCTCAAGCTAGCACCCTGTGCCTCCATTACGTGCATGATGGATAGCTGAGAGAGGGCTTCCATTGATCTGAGCTCAGAGGAAGCAGATGCTGAGCACAAACATAGTGAGTGGCTGAAGGAAGCCGTACAAATACTCCTGCAACAATCCAAAACATACCCTTACTATCGCACAGACACACACACACAGACACACACAGACACACACGCACACACACACTGCACGTACACGCAAACACACACTGCACGTACACGCAAACACACCGCCCTGCACCAAGATGTTGTTTTGTTCTGCACAGAATAATGATGCTGACTTTAGTATTCCATACAAAATGTCACACATCAGAAGGAAAAAGCAGGAAATTCTGGACGAATTATGTTGTGAAATAGTGTCTTGTTTCCTCCGCCAATAACAGCCACCGGATTTCCACAAATACACACAAGGTCCAAACAGATCAATAGTTACCTCTGTGACATTATCTTGAAGGCGTCTGGCAGGTAGCACTGCACGTTCTCCATCTGGAAGGGGTCTGCGTCACAGATCTTGTCATCAGTGCGGCCGTAGTTGGCCGTCTCAATCATGATGACATCACTTCCAGGGCAGCGCAGCTCAATTGGGTAGCCTTCACACGCCAGCTCTCGACGCATCAAGCCGAAGGGCATCATTGACCGGCTCAGTGCTGGAGTGGAAAGAAGGAGGGGAGGCAAAGTTATTGATAATTCAATGAACCTTAATACTTTTAGGAGGCACTTTATTACTCAACCACATTGTAAATATGATGTGTAGTATTTGACAAGAGCGGGCGGAATGCAAGTGGTTCCTATTGTCCTCATGTAAAACACAAATTAGCTGTTATCGACTCGCCTTCGCCCAGTGGTAATATTCCAGCTCTGTTGATGCACAGCCTGGCAATCCACTTTTCACACGGGATCATCTCAGATCACATATTGGCATGAAGGGTATGTGTGAGATATTGCACCACTTGTGAAACAAACTGATAGTTTCAAGCAAACTCCTACACACAGCCAGGGAGCAACTTATCACCGCCATCCCCACACCAGAGAGGAACCGTCTTCCTGAGCATCTTTTATTCTTTTTACCTCAAAGTATAAGTGTGTCACCTTAGGATTCTGAAGGCAATATTAGAACAAGCTAATTAAAAAAGAGAGAATTAATGTCTGTTTACACCTTCACCACAGGGGCGAGCACCATTTGCACACTCACTGCTGTTAATCAGCCATCTGAGAAGCATGTCAAAGTACTGCTGTGGCCAGCAGCAAGGCTCTTTGTGGAGAAGGGTCAGCAGAGACAGCAGGGTACTCAGGGTTAATCGCTGAGCCAGGCTGAGAGGCATGAAAGAGGGCTAAGAAGAGGCGCTGAGAGAGACACTCGCCATCTCTCCAGCTCTCTCCATAACTGCATACATTGTCTCTACAGTCAGCGTCAGACACACACACACACGTACACACAGAAATAACAAAATGGCTGCCAAATTCCTTCACAGCCCAGGTAGAGGCAGAGACAGAATAGCAGTGGAGAGTGAGTGATCTGGCAGAGGAGCTGAATGTGGATTTGAAGGACAACCAGTGTTTCTCTGAGCCGAGGCTCCTGGCAGCAACTGTGAGAGCTGCTGTCCATGGTCCTGAACTGACAAAAAAAAAAAAAAAAAAAATCGAAGACTGGCAGGTGTGGAACTGTCCACTGTCCTGAAGAAGCACTCTTCCTCCTTATTTTCAGTGGAGAGGACATGGCACATATTAGGCCGATAATGGGCACCCTGTCAAATCTAAACAGAACAGTCCTACTCCTGTTCAAGCAGGCTGGAATTTGGAAGATCTTTCTTTATAAACTGAGGCTCTCACTACACAGAATTTGCCCCCTGCGCCAGACGGCTTAAGCAGCAGACAAGGGCACTGAGTCAGTCCCTCTTCCCCACCGCTGGAACCCACAGAGCAGGGCTGATTTCCCTCCCTGACTCTGAGCTAGCGCTGCTTAGGTTTCAGCCGCTGTCCATTCAGGAGGAGTGCCCATCTGGGTCAATGTCAATGTCAGTCATCCCAGACATGCTCTGCAGCGATGCGCTACATGATTCACTGCCATCAGACTAGCTCATATTTCTAAATGCCACCCATTTATGCAGCAGGGACTTGAGTTCAGTTGTGTAACTAACGCCATTAAGGCTGAATGACCAACGCGGACAGACTTCAAATCTTTTATGCCTCGCCAGCATGCAGTGCCAGTGCCAAATCACAAAGGCCTCGATGCAAAAGCGCATACTAATTAAAGCACAGAGATGCAAACAGCAGGCGAGGCAAGACAAACAAGTCCCCACACACATGCAAAAAAATCCACACGAGCAAATTAGCACAGACGCGGAAGTGCTGGGCAGACGAGTGTGCACATTTACAGTCAAACACACACTCACTTGCATGTGTGTATTCACACAGAGCCCTGGTGTCACAGTGGGATTACAATACGTAGTGTCAGTGTGTGGGCTTGTTCTCTTAACTACCCTGTGGTGTAAGTACACAGCGGCGTACAGCTGGCCAGCGATTAGAGCCACACAGTGAGCCAAGAGGAGAGTGAAACTGAAGGGGGCCACCAGGAGCGATCGCACTCTTTCTCACACTGTGGACCAGCACAACAGGAACATTAGTCCACATCTGAGGGGGTGGATCACACATTTGTCTTTACACTGCTATCACACATTATATGGTAAACATTTCTGAAACCGCCCAAAGAGTAGCTGATTTAATTTGTTTGGCTGTGGGTTAAGTTAAGACTAGGTTGTTTTGGCAGCATTGAATAAAAACTGAAGATTTCAGCTTTATTTTGATTAATAATGGGCCTTTTATTGCTTTTACTTATGTTTGTGTATATAATTTCAGTTTGTGGCCTCTGGTAATGTTTGACATATCATCATTAATTCAGTCCAAGTGAGCAAATGTTCATCAAAACAGAGGTGCTCTGGAGGAAAGGGCTAAAACAAACTTACACTGAATGTGATCAATAGCCCAAATCCATTATCGTTTATTTTTTTGGCCCGGCTGTTACAGCATATATTTAGCCGTAATTGAGCAGAGTCATTATTGAGCCAGTGCACTTCCTTGGTGGCAGGAACCATGATAACTTGTCTATTTCTGGCACCATTGCAAATCTCTGCTTCTGCCATATTATAGCGTATTTGACACCTACACTCACACTGTCGGGCAAGTTCCGGGTTTAAGGTAGATTTCACTGTGTGAGTTCAGCAGGATGCAACTTATGTACCGATTAACGCCGTGTTTTTCTTTTGAATGGTGCATCCTCAAACCAGTGTGGAACTGAACTTCAGGGATTCAGTGTCTATGTGTTTGAGGAGTGTGTGTCTGTCTGTGTGTGTGTGTTTGTGTGTGTGCATGGTTGTGTGTCAGCCAGATGGCCTGAGGCCTAGCTGGAGCTGTGGCTAGCTCTGAGCTGAGATGAGATGAGCAGAGGATAAGCTTGGACTGACCATGGGCTACGATTGTCCTTCACTCTGCAGGAATCCATTAGTGTTTCAGGGTCTCTTCAGCCAACAAACACACTCGCAGGCGTACACACACACACACTTGCACGTAGCCATTTAGCTGTGCCTGTCAGACTCGTAATAGCTGGATGAAAAAGTGTATTTCTCAGCAGCGGCCATACGTATAGGTGGATCTAATCCCTCACGGTGAGACTATGACTCATTGCCTCTGGTTTATAAAACTGTTAATATCTGTCCACTAGAAATGGTTACCAATTGTCCCACATACCGATAATGATATAAGCCAATTCAATAATTACACAAAGGGATTTGCATGAATGTGGTGCTGTGCAAGAGACAGCAATCTCTCTCTCTCTCTCTCTCTCTCTCTCTCTCACAGACACAGACAGAGACACAAAGTGGACAGACAAACCCACACCAGACATGGGTATGGTGTCACTCCGGGGCAGCTGGTCAGTGGGTCTGAAGCAGTTGGCTTCATAATAGAAACTCCATACAAATTAAGAGCAAGAGAGAGAACTGATTGGATTTGACTCATTATCCTCACACAGTAATTAAAGCCTGAGGGTAGATAGATGCTTGGACCCTCTGACAAGAGCATCGTTTTGTAAGAGCCAAGCAAGTCTTTGCACACACTCATTCTTTCTCTTTTATTATATCGGTCTCTACATCTACTCTCGCGCCCACACACATGTACACAGAAATGTTTGCCACAGTCCAGTGTTGTTTGGTAATGAGGAAACATGACCTAAATCCAAAGATCATGAACAACACTTGACAAACATTAACAGCATACCTTTTTTTCCTCGTATCAAAGTCCAGATGAAAGGTTCACGGCATGTATAGACAAATATTTCTCTCTTCAATGAAACATTAGCAAAAATGTTCCATCATCAGAAATGTGCTTTCAAACATAAAAGCACCATTTGAATGTTTCAGACGATTTGACCTTGGCTGATGCTCTACAGTGTGTTTTCTCAGAAATAATTGAGTGAGAAGTTTCGGCCTTGCAGGGAGCCAGAGACTGTGACACTGACTTTGCAGCTGAGTCACAAAAGGAGATTATACTTTTGGAGCACTGTGGCCCCAAGGCTGACTTGTTAGCTGGCTGACTTCTTTCGGGGGCAGAAATGTGATCAGCTCCTCTTAGCCCCTCTGTCTGTTCCAGCAGTCATCTCCTAATGCTATTAGCATAGCACTGAAGAACAGAGAACATTTTCACCGAACAAAATTGGTATTTGAGATACTGGTAATGCTACTGATGATGCAGGATTCTTGTTATACTATTGTCCTTAAAATGAACTTTAAATGGCATTAAGGCAAATAAAGAAGTATCCTCTTTCAACCTAGATATAAGAGTGGAATATCAAGAGCACCCTGCATACATCTGCATACAGCATGCCGTCAAATTCAGCTATGAGAGCTGACACTCATGAGTTTCAGGTTACGTCCTTTAGGAAAGCTGGAAAAGAAAAACAAGTCATTTTACAGTCATTGGACAGAACAGAGAGGTCTCGGTGATGGGAATCCCGCTCTCGCACAGAATCATCCGCAACCAATTTCTCCAGTACTTTATCAGCTTAGTGCTGTAACTTAGCGAGTCACTTAGCACTCTGAGTAAGCGTAATGACTCGCTGGAGCATGGCCTGTCACGACAGACAAGCAGAGGCGATGTGGCCAGAGCTGTCACATCCAGGCAGCCTTCAAGCTGAGGAGTTGTGACAAAGTGACTTCCTGAGACAAACCTAAAGGCCTAACATGAGGGTGCAGGGGATGGGGCTGTGCGAGCCTGTGGGACAGTGTGAGTGTGTGTCGGCTTGTTTTACTATTTTGGTTGAGTCTGAGAACCAGGAGCCAACTGTACCTTTGGAGTCCAACAGATGCTGGACCGCACAAGTTTAAATGGCTGTCTGAGGTTTAAGAATCTGTATTTCTATTTTTTCAAAAGAAATAGAATTAGGTTAGAAAACTATCATGATAACTTTTCTTGTGTTGTCAAACGATAACATGGTTATCAAAAAGTGAGGCAAAGGCCAACGCATTTCTTTGCACACAATAATGTTATATTCGGGTCCCCACAAAGATAGGTGTGGGAGTAGGAGTGGGACATGCTGGCCTCAAAGCTAGGATGCTATCTCATCTCCTCTGACTCTTCAGCCTGTCAGGAAAAG